ATTTAACAGTGGGCTTTCCAGGATGAGGCACCACACTCAACTATCTTGATTCCAGATCATTTCAGGCCAAGTCGTCTTGTCACAAATGTGTGTCAGGGCAGTTCTGGACAAAGCGCCACCATGTCATTACATGTCCTCATCCCCAGGATCCCGTGCTCCTGTCTACTTTTATGAGTTCCAACATCAATCCAGCTTCTTCAAGGACTTCAGGCCACCCCACGTGAAGGCAGACCACGGTGATGAAGTTTTCCTTGTCTTTGGCCACCAATTCGGTAACATAAAACGTGAGTCTTCATGAATTTCCTTGAGCAGGACGGAGTCCATTATGGAAACCTGAAGGATAGCTGAGTTCTTAATCCAGTCAATGGAGCCAAATCCTTGAAGAAAGACAGAATCCAGTATGCACCATCTCACAGCTCAAAGTCTATATTAGGTTGAAATCTGGAGCTTTCTGAGTCTACCTTGGGTTATTGCTAATAAGAAAATAATGGTGCAGGAATGAACCTGGCTGAATTCACTAAGAGACTTAGTCCTGGGCAGTAAAGGAGGGAACCAAATCAATCATTTAGACTTGAGTGACAGCTGGCTTGGTGGGTGTGAAGCATGAATGGGAAGCTGCATGAAGTGACTGAGACATGGGTACCTGTCCTTCTCTCTTCAGTTCCCCACACAGAGGAGGAGGAGCTACTAAGCAGAAAGATAATGAAGTACTGGGCCAACTTTGCACGACATGGGTGAGAGGATGCCCTTCCCTCAACTTCTGCAAGGGTGGGTTGCTGTCCAGAACTCCCTTTGCTCATGGTGAGCTCCTTAGGATGTATGGTTCTTTATTGCATGAGAGAGTCTTCCCTACCCTCAAGCACACTTTGGGAAGCAGTTTACCACGTAGTCAGCTGCCACGCACATGGGCACGAGCCCCTATGTACATGGGCATGCACGTACACGAGCACACAAACACACACACACATATACATACTCATGCGGAACACTAAGACATTTTATATATGTTTGCTACTGGTCATCTTGCAGTAAATTGGTGCATGGGCCACAGTATTGTGGTAATGTTCTTTAGCTTTTGCCTTGGAGAAGGAGGCAGAAAACAGGCCATGAGAGACAGTAAACTTGTCCCACATGGAGTAGGAAATAGTGGGTCACACTTGTATCCTAATATCAGGACATACACCCTATCAGTCTCCTTAAACCCTTGGCCTACTTCATTCACTGTCCTGAGCCAAATCAGGATCAAGTGACCTTCACTCTTCCCTGCTGGCTGGCATATCCACAGAAACCCCAACAGTGAGGGTCTACCCTACTGGCCTGTGATGGACCATGATGAGCAGTATCTGCAGCTGGACACTCAGCCTGCTGTGGGTCGAGCCCTGAAGGCCAGAAGGCTGCAGTTCTGGACCAAGACTCTGCCCAAGAAGATCCAGGAGCTAAAGGGGACTCAGGAGAGGCACAGAGAGTTGTAGTGCCATGTGTGAAGGAAGGCATGTGGGCTTCATGTCTGAGGTTTGGAACGCTTTTTGATTCTACTATTCACATAATCATTCCTCACACATAAAGTTGTCTATTTTACCAATTTATATGACAAACCCTCTACAGGTCACAAAATGCTGCCAATCTGTTAGAGCCATTCAATAAAAGCTGTATCGATATGGAATATGGATGAATGAGACCCAAGTTCCCATAGTCTTCACAAGTTCTGGCTGCTGCTCCAAATAGATCTCAAACTACCAGCAGGTCTTGGGATATAGATTTGTGATCCTGGTTATTTAGAAACTGAGTCAAGAATACTGCATGAGCCTAGTAGTTCCATACCACCTTGAACAGCATAGGAAGGCACATATCTGAGAAACAGAAATTATCACTAGCTGGATAACTTGCAAATGACAGAAATGCATTAAAGTTCTGTGGAGTGAGAAATACAGGGTGAGAAAATGAACATGAGCCATACAATCTTTCAGGGCACAGCTCCTAGACCTCTCTGTTGTCAGCCACTGAACATTCCAGGTACCAAAAACCATGCCCATTGTCCCTATAGAGGAAATCTCATCTCTTTCCTTCCCAAATGGCAATTATCCACTTTCATGAAAAGCTTGACTTGATATGTTCATAGATACTTCAAGCAAGACCAGAAGTTGGGGTTGAGCAGCAGGCCCAAGCAGGCTTTCTCTAATAACAAATTTGCTCTTTTGCACAGGGAT